ATTTTTTTTTTTTTTTTTTTTGAGTTGGAATCTCATTCCGCTGCCCAGGCTGGACTGCAGTGGCAAGCTCACCGCCACCCCATCGTCTTTCTGCTGGGCTCTGGCGATCCTTGCGCCTCAGCCTTCCGAGTAGCTGTAACTACAGGCGCGTGCTACCAAGCCCGGCTAATTTTGATTTTTACTGCAGAGACGAGGTCTCGCCAAGTTGCCCCAGCTGGTCTCAAACCTGCAGGCTCAGGCAATCCACTCGCCTCGGCCTCCTAAAGTGCTGGGATTACAGGCTGAGCCACCGAGCCCGGCGGATTTTTTTTTAAGAGATGGGGTCTGTCACCCCAGGCTGGAATACAGTGGCAGGATCACAGTTCACTGCAGCCTTGAGCTCCTGGGCTCAAGGATCCTCCGCTTCAGCATCTTGTGTAGCTGAGCTCACAGGTGCGAGGCAATGAACAGGCTATAGTGATTTTAAAAAGGCTCTTTTCAAGGCCGAGGCAGAAGGATCACCTGAGTCCAGCAGGTCGACGCTGCGGTGGCCGTGAGCGTGCCACTGCACTTCAGCCTGGGCGGCAGAGTGAGACTCAAAAAAAAAAAAAAGACTATTTTAAGGCTATTTTCTTCGCACCCCTGTAGTGTCAGCTACTTGGGATGCTGAGGCGGGAGGGTCGCTTGAGACCAGAGTGGGCAACAAAGCGAATCCTCTTCTTAAAAATAAAGGCATGCTGGGCTCGGTGGCTCAGCCTGTAATCCCACGCCTTTGGGAGGCTGAGGTGAGTGGATTGTCTGAGCCCGCGGGTTCGAGACCCACCTGGGCAGGCGAGACCTCATCTCTACAATAAATCAAAAAATCAGCCGGGCGTGGTAGCGCGCGCCTGTAATTCCGGCTACTCGGAAGGCTGAGGCGGAAGGATCACCGGAGCCCAGCAGGTTGAAGCTGTGGGGGCCGGAAGCGGCCACCGCACCCCAGTCTCGGCGACAGAGTGAGACTCCAACTCAAAAAAAAATAAAATAAAATAATGGCTGTTTATTTTTCGTCACTGTAGCAGATCCGAAGTAAAACCATCGCTCAACTGTATCTTGATAAAACATGGTAGGTAACAAATAAAGACTCTCAAACTTCTCTGTCATTAAAAGATTTGTGATACCCAAGCAATGATGCCTATATTGTACAATGCTTAGGACAGGGTGATAATTATTTTTAACCAGTACTTATGGGAAAAATTTCATTTGGCAATTCCCCACCCTTTGATCGTGAGGGGCCTCATGAGCTCCTACAAGCAAGGGGATTAGAACAGTGGCTAGTACGTAAACCACTGGTAGTCTTTGGCCCCACCCAGCCGGAACACAGTCCCGGGTCTAGTCGCCCCCTGGCGGCCATTCCAGACTTCCGCCTCCTCCACCAGGCGCAGCTGCCGCAGCCCGCGTGGCCTCTGCTGCGTCACATCCGGCCCGTGCGAGTCCGGATTCAGAACCCGCGCGATGAAGTGCGTGTTTGTTACCGTAGGGACCACCAGCTTTGACGACCTGATAGCGTGTGTGTCGGCGCGCGACAGTCTGCAAGTGAGTGGGGGAGGCGAGCTGGCTGCGGCGTGGCTCGCAGCGCTTCACTTGCCGCCGCCAGCCTCACTGCTGGTCTCCTAACCTTGCCTGACCGCCCCGTTGGGAAGGAATTCCCTCAGCTCTACCACAGGTGCCGTCGCTCCTCTGCTGGCTGTTCCCCACACCCGGCTGGGCCCTCCTCAGGCAGGCTCCCCCGTATCTCGGGGGGTGGGGCATCCTCTGACTCAACAGTCCCCAGCCTTTATGGCATCAGGGACCGGTTTCGTGGAAGAAACTTTCTCACGGACGGGGGTTCGGGATCATCAGGCGTTAGATTCTCATTAGGAGCACGCAACCCAGATTCTTCGCATGCGCAGTTCCCGATAGGGTTCGCGCTATGAGAATCGAATGCCGCCGCTGATTCGACAGCGAGCGGAGGTCCGCTCAGCCGCCGCTCACCTCCTGTTGTGTGGCTCGGTTCCTGATAGGCCCCGAGGAGTTGGGGACCCCTGCTCTAACTCCAGTTCCTGTTCCCCTTCCCGCGGTTGTTCCTCCTCCTCTCCTCGGCTCCTCCTCTTCCTCTCCCCGGCTCCTCCTCTCCCCGCTTTCCCGCCTCCATTCTCTGCCTCGGCCCCTCCTCCTATGCCTCTTTCCCTCATAGCTGGGGCTTCCGGCCCGCCTCCTGGGCGCTTCTCAGACGTCCTGTGGGCGGCGCAGTCGGCGCCTGGTACCTCAGCCCGCCGAGTCCGCCATCCCGGCGCCTCAGACGCGCCGCGCGCCCGGCTTTGCTTAGTCCCCGCGCGTTGGGCTGGGGCTCGGTTTCGCGTCCGCGCTGTTCCACTCCTCAGCGCGTCTTCTCCGCAGGGCTCATTGTTCTCGCAGACCAGCCGGTGAGGGAGACCGAGGCTGTTTGTTGGTTTCCTCCCTAGTTTGCGACTCCCTTTTTCTAAGTCTTTCCTGTTCTCCTTTGAGCGGGACCGGTTCTTTTCCGACTCGGCATGCTGGGTCGCTAACATTACCCAGGGCTTGTGAGGTACCTTGTAGGACCTGGGACGGGGAAAAAGGGATAGTTTTGAAACTAATTGAAGTCGGCCTCAGCGGCAGTAATGCTCCGGTCTGAACTCCGAATTTTAGGATTTGTTGTTCCTGCTGTTTTTTACAGTACCCCGTTTAAAAGGCCCGCTTTTTCTTGTTTCCTGTTTCAGATCATCAAGAGCCTTGGTTACGACCGACTCATCCTCCAAATAGGTAGAGGAACAGTGGTACCTGAACCATTCAGCACTGAGTCCTTTACTCTGGATGTTTATAGGTATAAGGATTCCTTGAAAGAAGACCTTCAGAAAGCAGATCTTGTTATTAGTCACGCAGGTAAAGTGCCTCATTATCTCAGATGTTTAAAAAACCATCTTTGATGAACAATAAGTAAATAACCTTTTTGAGCTAAAACAAAATCAGAGTAATTCATTGAAGCTCTCTTGAATTTAACACTTACTTGAATTTAATGATTGGGAACTTTATTGGAAATAATTTAGTATTTCTAGGTGAGAGAAGGATGAGAAATAATCATTGCAACCCAACTTTACATTAAGAAACCCTAAACACAGAGCAAAAATGATTTACCCAATTACATGTGTAATGATTATCAACTTGAAATTAGTATTTGGGCTTAGATCTGAAGGTATGTTCACCCTGCTAATTAGTTGGATTGGTCATGGAAAAATTGGTTTTGAAATTTTTTTTAACTTTTTTACCAAATGTGAGTCTGAAGTGAATGCAGTTAAAAACACTCTTGAACAAGAAATTTACAAGTAAAAGTAGTTCTTCAATAAATTGCTCTTCAGGGAACCATTATCATCCATTAATAATAATTACCTGATGATCTAGTTAATTAGTATGTTAGTACCTTCAGAAGAACTGCTTTTGAGAAACATTGCAATTTTGAGTGCTGTGAAGGTGAATGCTTTTTTTTATTGTTTTTTTTTTTTTCTAGTGAGTTGGAGGTTCTTACTCTGTCTCTAAGCTGGAGTTCAATGGCAGAGTCATGACTCACCACAACCTTGCCCTCTTGGTCCTAGGTGCTCCTTCCGCTTCAACCTCCGGAGTAGTTGGGACTAGAGGCACATGCCACCACCTGGCTAATTTTTCTGATTTTTTTTTTGTTTGGAGACAACATCTTTCTATGTTGCCTAGGCCGGTCTTGAGCGATCCCCCCCTTGAAGGCCTCCCAAAGTGCTAGGATTACCACCGCACCTGGCTTTCTTGGTTTTTTAAACATTCTATTTGAGGACAGAAAAGTCTTTAGAAATAGATGTTACCAAAAGATTATCATCATCAGTGATAAAGTAATGTATTGTTCAAGTCAGTTTTCTAACACTTTAATTAGAGAGCAATTGATAACTATACTTTTGTTGCTTTGAATGTATAATTGAAAGACCTAGCTATAAAGCTTGGTGGAACACCTTAACTTTTTTCCTTTTTTTTTTTTTTCTGGAGTTGGAGTCTTGCTCTGTTGCCCAGGTTGGAGTGTAGTGGAACATTCACGGCCACCGTACCCTTGACCTGCTGGGCTCTGGTGATCCTTTTGCCTCAGTATTCCAAGTAGCTGAAACTACAGGCATGCACCCCCACACCCAGCTAATTTTTTTATTTATTGTAGAGATGAGGTCTCATCAAGTTACCCAGGCTGGCCGCAAATCCCTGGGCTCAGGCAATTCTCTCGCCTTGGCCTCCCGGAGTGCTGGGATTACAGGCGTGAACCACCATGCCTGGCCAGAGCACTTTTAACTTTTTAAAAATGGTATTAACAAATTTGATTTATTTTTGTAGGTGCAGGAAGCTGTTTGGAGACTCTAGAAAAAAGAAAGCCACTTGTGGTGGTTATAAATGAAAAGTTGATGAACAATCATCAACTGGAATTGGCAAAGCAGCTACACAAAGAGGGGCATCTCTTCTACTGTACCTGCAGGTATACTAGAGACTATTTGATTTCTTGCCTTGGTCTCTCCATAGCTGTTCCTTTTACCTACCTACCTAACCCATCTGTTTCTTTTGCCTTTTATCTTCTCCCACCTAACACAATACTTTGATTTTTCTCACCTGTAAAACTCTCCCATTTGTTTGTCTCCTACCTTAACTGTGATCTTTGTATTGTGTTTCTACCTGTTATCTGTGGCTCTTGCCTTGCCTGTGAATGTCTGAGTATGTGTGTATTTGTTCTGAGTGCACAATTCTTAAAGAATCTTAATTTTTGAATTCATTGTTTAGTGTTTCGTTATTCAAGGAAAGCATTTGGTCATTTTAGTTAAGATTTTGCTTTCAGTTAGTCTGCTGGAATCTCTAAATGAGATTTACTCATTCATTTATTCAACTATACCTAATATGTAACAGGCACTGTTTTAGGTGCTGTGGATACAGTGGTAAACATGAGATAAAGTTCCTGCTTTCATGTAGCTTATACATTCTAGTGGTAGAAGATTGACAGTAAACAAGTTCACAAATGAGCAAGATAATTTCACATGGTCAGATATGCTATGAAAAAAGTTAAGACAGGGTGATGTTATAGCTGGATTGAAGACTAATTAGATGAGCTTGTCAGAGAGTACATGACATTTGAGCTGAGAAGAATTACAAGGAATAGCCAGTCATGTGAAGGCAGAGGGAATAGCAATTGCAAAAGCTCTAAGTTAAGAATGAACTTAGAATTTGGTGTGCTTGAGGAACCGAGGGAAGGTTAATGTGGCAGAAGCATAGTGACCAATGGAGAGTATAAGATGAAGCTAGTCATAGCTCATGTACAGTTCTGATTTTATTCTATGTTTAGTGGGAAGCCATTGGACTATTTTAAGCATAGGAATTACTTTATGATAAGGAATGTTATGTTCTAGAAGTATATTAGAATTCAATGAGAACTGATCATTACAAGAAAAGAATGAAGAAAATTGCTGGTTTGTTTTCTATTAGTTCTTCCTTGAGACACTAGAAGCTTGCCAAAGGGCCAGGTCAGTAATACCCAGTTGTTTCACTTTAAAACCTATCCTTCTAAGTAAATTCTACATAGACTTATTCCTCTCTCTATATATGTATTATAGTAAATTGAAATTATTTTTTTTTTAGAAAGTAGGATTTATTAAGAAGACAGAAAAGCTCCCATAGTGGGAGGGGACCTCAAAGAGGTTGCTCGAAATTAATTTTAAAATAAGAAATCCTAGAAGGCACTGGCTAGAACATAATAAGCTTTTCTTTTAATTTTACTGCTTTTGTCTCTTAGGCACTTAGCAAATACTTGTTCATTCATTAAATATTTAGCAAGCACCTACTATGTGCCAGGCATTATTCTTGACACTTGGTATACATCAGTGAACAAAAGAGACAAGGATTCCTGTTCTCATTGAGAGGAGGCAGATTCACTGTTTCAGGAGTAAAATTGTTGGTGTCCTCATCCCTATAATGATGGAGAAGAGGGAATGTCAAGGTGGCTCTGTGATACAGATGCCAGTCTTGCACTTCTTTGAGTCATAGGAGAAGCTAGATAATTAAAATTATGTATGCTTCAGAAAATGGGCATATATGCCCTTGGGTAGTTGAGATTGATAGAATCATTTTTAAAAGAGGAATAACCTCTTATCTTCCTAATTGGTTTATGCAAGTCAATTTTTCCAGATACTTTTAGTGATATTTTCATTCTGAATGTTAAATCAGTTTTGATTTTAAATATGTGCAGGAAAACACTTATTTCATAAACACACTTTTTACGGAGGCTGAAAAGGAAACTGTATGAGTCTCCAGTTTATTCATTTTTTTACAGTTTTAGAAGTCTTTTTCCTATATTAATTTCAAGAAAGTCACACACAAAACAGTAAGAATCAATAATTAGTTGTATTTTTTGTTAGGTAAATTATTTATTTTCCCCAAACTTAGGCTGGTGGTATGTCTATTGTCATAGTGCCTAGTTTAAATAAATTTCTGTAGTAATACTTTTGTGTTTACAACCTTATTTCCAGCATGCATGGTGGTTTTATATTGTTTACTTACAGTTAGATTTATGGTAGTAAATTACTGGCAAAAAAAAGTTACTTCATAATCTTTGTGCATGATCTAGTACACCTCCTAGCTTATTTTCTTGTCTGACAGCTATTACTTTTGGTTTCAATTTTTATTTTTATTTTTATTTATTTATTTATTTTTATTTTTATTTTTATTTTTTTTTTGAGTTGGAGTCTCACTCTGTCACCCAGACTGGAATGCAGTGGTCGCTTCCGGCCACCACAGCCTCAACCTGCTGGGCTCCAGTGATCCTTCCGCCTCAGCCTTCCAAGTAGCTGGAACTACAGGCACGCACCACCACGCCCGGATGCTTTTTGATGTAGAGATGAGGTCTCGCCAAGTTGCCCAGGAGGGTCTCGAACCCACGGGCTCAGGCAATCCACTCACCTTGGCCTCCCAAAGCGCTGGGATTACAGGCTGAGCCACCGAGCCTGGCTGGTTTCAATTTTTAAATTATTTTCATGAATTAAATTTGCTCCCATTTAAATCTTCCCAGTCTTTTATGCACCTAATCCTGACTTGTACCCCATGTCTTTACAATTAAAAAAAATCTTCCCAGCCCTGAGTCATATTATAAAACCCTATGAACACGTTTTTCATAAAATAACATTTCTGAAATATTTCATTTGACATAGGCAACAAAGTGCTGAATTTACATTGACATTTTATAGTACTCTGTGTTGTTCTAATAATCCTAGTATGTATACCTGTAATATTAAAATACATAAAAATTAACGTGTACAACTTTTTAAGAAGCACCACTATGTTCTTGGAAGATATATTCAGTCATCAAGTGGGCAACAGATGAAGTATGGAATTTTCTCCCATGTTACCTAATATTTTTCTTCTTTTGTTTTAGCACGCTTCCTGGGCTGTTACAGTCAATGGACTTATCAACACTGAAATGTTATCCTCCTGGCCAGCCAGAAAAATTTTCTGCATTTTTGGATAAAGTTGTTGGATTACAAAATAAACACTAAACTCTCAACACTTTAAAAACACCCTCCAAATCCAACCTATGGGATGTGATTAAATCAAATTAAATACATAATACATATTTACAGAATAGTATAAATTAACAAACATCATACATCTATATAATGTAAAGGATATTTTATAGTGTGCACATTTGCATTTGAGTCCAAATCCTAATTGCAGTTTAGTAAAATTATTAGATTTGTGCTGATTGTCAATATGTAGTGAATATCCTACAATCCCAGATGGACTTGGAATAATGGAAAAAAAATGAACTTTGAAAAATTTGACAAGGACTATAAATGTAGTTAGTTTGCTTTTTGGAATAAAAAATGAAACAGTAACAACTTAAAAAATTTTGCATGAGAGTTAGCATCATTAGCTTCATAATCTGAGGAGCCAAACCCCCCCAAAAAAACAGTTGATATGTTGTGCTCTGTGATAAAATGTTTAGTCATTTCCAAAAAAGTTGATCAAGTTAGTGATCTATTGTACTTGGAGAAACTACTTTTATCCTTAAGAATAGAGTGGAGTGGATATGTTCACTTTTTTCCTTTAAAATATAAATAGTGACAAAATAACCTTGCCTAATGTCAAAGCTTTACTAGCTTTAGAAGAATACTCACAAAGGATTTATACTGATAGAACTTTCTGTTATTTTTTAAGGATCTTCTTTTCATAGTGGTAATGAAACATTTATTGTAACAGAAATTTACAATTTATGTGCTTATAAAGTTAGTTTTCAAATGAATAATGAATGGCCTGATGTGTATAATGACTTAAATATGTGGTTTTAAAATTTACATGATAAATTGAGATAAATACGTTATAAAATTCTTTCTGATTAGAGTATGTAGTCTCAAGACCTTTAAAATAAACTGGATTATCCTTGAGTGTCCATAGTTCTCTGGTAGAATGTTGAGATACAGTTTATCTGTAAAAGAACATTCACTATGAAGATCTTCCATTATATTATCCTAAAATGTTAAATGTTCCAAACATTTTACTTGGAATATATTTTATAATGTTTTGTAGATTTATTTTCCTGATTGTATTCTACTTAGGCTAATATTAAAATTAAATTCTTACTGATGGTAGGAGTTGGTGGCTGAGAAGTGCTCTGGGTAGCAGGAGGAAGCCAACTTGGATTAAAATTTTGCTGAGAATAATCTAAAAAGTGAGTAATTTATATAGTTGGGAATTCACAGCACCATAATCATAATTGCATATTAATGTATACTGATGTTTTAGGAAAGGTCCTATTCAAATCCAGGAAGAGACTCTAGTGTTTTCTGGGCCTCTTTTAAATATGTTTTTTCATTTGAGAAAAATTGTGGTTTAAAGTTCTTACTGGTCCCTCAGCTTTTATAGTTTTTTTATGGCTATGAAAGGATGGGTCCACTCAAATATCACACCATGAAAAACCATGTGGCCCCCAAATCATCTACTTTCTACCTTCCTACAAGAGTGCAAGCCTAGATTCCGTTATTTAATTTGGTAGATGCTTACTTAAACCATTGGTGTCAATTGTGTATAGCAACATTTCTGACTACACTTTTGTGGGGTTTTATTTCAACTGTGGCTTTTTAAATCAAAGGAAACTTCAGGATCATTTCGTGGCAGAGATTCTTAAGATTATCTAGTCCAATTCTGTCATTTCTCAGATGTTACAATTTGCTTTTGGCAGAGCTGCCCCTAGAAGCAGCTACTTAATTCACAGTCTTGTGCTCTTTCTACCATATATAATATACATTGTAAGCTATTTATTATTGTTTGCCTAGTATTTTAGTTACTCTAATCACTTCTAAGGAAGGATTTTTTTTTCTTCCCCAGAAATTCTTTATTTTAGTAGGAATTTCACACATACCTGGATTTTTCTTCAGTGTATGACAGCCTTACCTAGGACTTAGAAATCTGTGATTTCTGAGTCTTTGGAACCCAGTGAAATGCTCTCGATAGGATTGATACTAGACTGAATGAATTACAACTTTGAGACAAAGAATTGTAAACTTTTGGAGTTGGAAGAGAATGTAAAAAAATAAAAAGTTCTTTTAAACCACTCATTTTATAGATTAGGAAACAGGCTAAGAGAAATTAATTGCCAAGTTTACATCTTATTGAAAAAGATGGTAATCAGAGTTCTGGTTGGAATATTTGCTCAATCAAATTTTTTTGGTTTCATTATATGGCAGAGATACAGATTCTTGAAAATGATAAGTGGAATACAATTTATTTCACAATTTTCAATTAGAGGTATTTAAATTATCAGGGATAAGGAAGTAAAAGAGAGTTTAGTATTGGGAAATTCACATTGTGGATAAGTTCAGAGGTAGACAGTTAACAATAGAAATCTTGTGGTGTTGGGATGTGATGTTATGGGATGGCCTTAGGAATTTGGGATTTGGAAAGTTAAGAATTTTGAATGACTACATGCTTGTAGTTTGGGAGGAAAGAAAGCTGGAAGGATTTGGTGGTAAGATTAGTACAACTGATGAATTTGAGGTAGGGTTCTGGAACATTTAAAGTTATTATCTGCAAGCACTATCAAGAATCTGATTTTAGGTACCTTAGAGCTCTATTTTGTGTACTTTTAAAGGCAAGTCATGTACAGGCACAAAGGAAGATATTAAAAGATTTTCCGCCACTTTGGTAATTTGAGGAAGAGTTTTCCAAGGCTAAAGTCAGGAATGGCTAGCAATGAAGATATTTTTCTTTGTGTTTTATTATGGTATAAGCACTTAATTCTGACTTGTGTATAATATAAAATTTGTGGAGATGACTAAAAATATGTAGTCTGAGAAATGAGATAGGGACAAATTTGAAATTGATTTTTGAGAAAGATTTGGAAAGGGTGGTCATGGTAGCCATGTGGTGATCCTTTTTCTGTTGTACAGCTAGTAGCATATTTTTATGGGGAAGTGGGGAATAAAAACACTTGGTTAACACTTGTTGAGTGCTTAGTATGTATCAGCTAATATTCAGAGCACTTTACATATATAAAGTCACTTAATCTTCACAATAATCCTATGAAATGGTTTGCTGTGGTCTGGAAATTGTAATTGGAACACTGAATTCCAGTGTATTTCTGCACTTTATGGGGACAGTAGGACAGAATATTTGAAATCAGAGGATCATCCCAAGAAATTCAGATTGTATGCTAGCCATAGGTGTATAACTTATTTGAGTTTTTACATTGCTACTTAAAAAATCACACTGATTGCTACTCATAGGATCCATGTGGAGAGACTCTTCCAGTTAGTGTACCTGATTTCAAGTTAGTTACTGGTCTTTTTTTTTCTTAAAATATTCATGTTTTAAGGTTCTTTTTTGGATCCTCCTTGCTGTATAATTTTTGCTTGGTATTTTCACGACTCTCAGAGCTTCTACTACTTTGACTCTCCTATCTATATCTCCTGGACTGAATCAATCCTCTTACCTCTGCCTCCCAAAGTGCTGGGATTGCAGACTTGAGTCACCGCGCCTGGTTTTTTTTATCTCCCAACTATGATTTGAGACTCTAAATGGTATTTCCAGTTGCCTGTTGATCATTTTTTAAAAATCTCAAACTTTTATATCTATTGATTACCCAGTACCTCAGCTTTATTTCCTAAGTATCCTAGCCCATTTATGTATGTGTTCAATCAGTCATTTAATATAAATACATAAAGAGAATCTACTTTTTGTATCAGCAGGACTTAAGAAATGATTCCTGCTCTGGAAGAACTCTTACAGTCTTGTTGGGGAGGACCTATGTCTTACTCATTCTTGAGTCCTCTGCCTGAAACACTGTAGGCATTCCATAAATGATGAATGCACTTCTGTAACTTACTACTCTTTTCTTATTATCTTAATTAGGAGCAGGTATTGCTTCTAGGAAACACTCATTTGCACACATTTATTTCATAATGTCTTTGGTTTGACTCCAAAATATCTAGTATATCTCTAGTTCAGAAGAAAGATGTGATCATTATATTGTATGGTAAATTTGTAGGATCAAGTATTTACAGGAATGGCGTCCCAAATATAACAGTGCTGATCCTATGCTATATCCTCATGGTGTTTAAGAGTCTGTCAAATAGTGGTACTTATTGGGGATTTGCAGTAAAACATGATGTTAAAAATCAGGTATATAAAAAGCAGTAGCTATAGTGTTTTCCAGTAAAAGATTATAAGGGCAAAAGTTAAGGATACCACCAAATGGTATTTAATTACTGCTTAAATTGTTAATTCCTCACATGAATATTCCATTACAATCCTTGTATAGTTTTTAAATCTTACAATTTTTATAGGTGGTTAAACAAAAAGTAGACAAATCTAGGTAACATCAAACAAATGTAGAATACGTGCTTCTTAATGTTGGTACTGATTCTTAAAAAATTTTGAGGAGCTTTTTATACCATTATGTGGCAGCTATCTTGGTATTTCGCTTCTAAATCTTTATTGGTTTTATGAATTTTTACTACATTCTGGCCAAAATTATTTTTATTGATATTCTCAACCATATCTTTACTTTTTAATTTTTTCAATTTCTTTTTGAGTCAGAGTCTCACTCTGACTCCCAGACTGGAGTACTGGGCTCGGGTGATCCTTCTTCCTCAGCCTTCCAAGTAACTGGAACCACAGGCATGCGCCTCCATACCTGACTATTTTTTTTGATTAATTGTAGAGACAAGGTTTCTCCAAGTTGCTCAGGCTCGTCTCGAACCCTTGGACTCAGGCAATCCTCTTACCTCTGCCTCCCAAAGTTCTGGGATTACAGGTGTGAGCCACCGTGCCCGGCTTAACCATATCTTTAAACATGATTTTATCTTGATGGCAGCAGTCCTGTTCTTTAAGGCATTGGTTCTTAAGCTTATTTCAGTCATGGACTTCTTTAAAATATTTAGAACTATTACTTCTCTTCCTACTTACACATACACACAATTTTGCAATGCCTTTCGGGGAATTTACAGGTACCTTTTGAAGGCTCCAGATTAAGAATCCTTAGATTGATAACTTCATTCCTTGGTCATTGCTCATTAATATTTTGTGATAACTCCTAGACTCCATTTTAATTAAACCTTTTTTATTAAATACATTTAAGTTTGGTAATTCTCAGTTTTTATAATGTAACACAAATTTAA